TTATCATGTGATCACCTGATTAATTATCCAGGTGCAGTGAAAAGGGTCTCCTGCAAAGGGTGGAGACTACCCTAAAGCAATTATTTGTTAGCCTGTGGATCAAACCTTCTAGTGCGTTTCAATTCATCTCTATATCATGTCCTATGTCCAGAAAATAAGTCCAGTGCCCATTCATTCCCCAGCCCTGTGTCTATTTCTCAGTCCCTACCTATTTCTACCTGTCAAAGTTCTGTCCATCCTTCAAGCCCATGTCCCATGCCACTTCCTCCCCTGTGCCCAGTTCCCAGCCCCTCCAGTAGCACTCTTTCCCCTCCTTCCCCCATTCTGTCCTATCCTCTCATCCCCCACTCCCCACTCCCCCTTCCAAAGCGACATGCGCACCAGACAGATGTAGATAAATATTTGCTGAAAAAAACTAAGTGTGCTCTCATCAAACAAATCCATAAACATAGGGATATTTCAACCCTTGAATAAGCCATCTCCCTGTTTTGTTATCTTTGAACTCCACAAGGTTATGTTTTTGATATTTAAACGTCTTAAAAGTCTTCTTGGTTTAAACCTTATGCTCTACCCAAAGACAGATACTTCCTGTTGACATCGGTCACCTAACCCTTTCAAAGACCATCAACCTTAATCTTCCTAACGTTCAAAGATGGGTAATGGGATGGGTACACAGGGGCTTATAATATCATTCTATTTTTTGAAAAAGCTTGAAAATGTCAATAATAAAAAGCATTTTTAAGGAATCGATATTTGAGGTATTTGGAACCCCCTTAAGAAGTCATCCATTTGGTTAGAACTATTTCCTGATAAACAGAACGGATTCACAGTTAAAAACTCAGCTTTGAAGTCAGAGAGCCCTACATTCAAACCTGGCCCCATCATTTAACTGCTGTGTGACTTTGGACACAAAACATATCCTCTCTGAAAATTAATGATTTTGATCTGTAAGGTCGGGATAATGATAATAGTGCCCACCTCATAGAGTAGGTGTGAGAACGGAAATGCGATAATGAATGGACAGTGCTTGGCATAATGTTGGGCTCATCGTTTCTGAATCCCAATAAAATAAAGCCATTGGCGTTACCTGGAAGAAAACATTTTCCTTCTCCCTACATCATACTTTCAAAACATTTCTAGACGATGGTTTATTTGCATATCTCTCTTCCTCCTCTCTATTATAAATCTCCTCAAAGACTGGGATAATGTTGGATTCATTTCCATGTGCCTAGCATCCAGCACATGGTCTGAATCATAGAAAGTGCTCCTGGAAGGCTACTAATTACAAGTTGTAACAAATTATATATATATACGTATATATACACATATAAATACATATGTATATATGTATGTGTATTTGTGTGTGTGTGTGCAATAACCTCTACACAACCATGTCAGACTCCAGGGAACTGTAGGCCTCAGAGATCATGTAGAGATTGTACTCAAATACATTAAAAAGAGTCTAGCAGACCCACACAAATATATAAAGCACCACAGAAATAAATTTCACTAAAATTGTAGCTCCAACATTCTCCGTTTTGACTTGTTCATTCTCTTATTCATTCCGCAAAGATTTAATGAGCAACTCCTATAAGCAAGGCTGTGTGCTAGATGCTTAGGAATATATAAAGAGACGGAGAAAAAATAAAACAGCTTTTGCTCTCAGCATGTTCATAATCTAGGGAAAAGGTAAGGAAGTAAGGAGAATATTTCATGATAGCATGGTAAGAAATAAGATGAGTAGGGCCGGCCTGGTGGCGCACTGGATAGTGCGCCGCTTGGGAAGCGTGGCGGCGCTCCCGCCCGAGGGTTCGGATCCCACATACAGACCGGTTCCCGCTCACTGGCTGAGCGAGGCGCGGGAGCAACACCGAGGGTTGCAATCCCGTTGCCGGTCCCCGGTCCGGTACGGGGGCAACACTAAGGGTTGCGATCCGTTGCCAGACACGGAAAAAAGACAAAAGACAAAAAAAAGAAAGAAAGAAGATGAGTAAAGGCAAATATAACACAGTCATATTCGTATTTTATAAGTATCACTCTTAGGTTTCCACTAGCAAAGAGAATGTGGACTTGGGAAAACTACTAATAGATCTCATATTTTGTATTTTCAAGTCAGAAAAATATCTTAAAAATTATCTCACCTAATGTCCTTATTGTAGAAATGAAAAAAAAACTGATTTTGAAGGGATGTAAAGTAGAATATCCTTTTTTTTTAATGAAATGAAACATACTGCCCTACAATTCGGTCTTCCTAGGTTCCGCTACCACCTGCCACTTTGCTCAGCATTTTTGCTAGCAGAAGCATGAGAGGTGGTCTCACTTCCATGGACACAGCTCAGAGCAGATCCTTTTCAAAAGCTGAAAACATTTACCAATTTGGAGAGCTGGTAGAGGCTCTATTGTACGAGCATGAGAAAAATTCTAACTGGTTTTATACATTTTCTCATAGTGATTATAAAAGTTAAACCCTCTTAAATCACAGATTAGTCTTGAGCTTCTAATACTATTTAAATTACAACTCCCAAATCTTGATCGATGTAACCGACTAAAGTCCAAATGCTGCTTTTTAAATTCTGGTCATCACAGGGAAGTTACTTAACGTGACAGAAGGCCATGTAGATTGGCCCGGTAATAGAATCCAGCAGTGTTTTCTGAGCTATAATGTTTACCATCCCCTCAATCCTCTATAAAATAAACAAGCTGGTTTGCCATGTTTTCTGTCCAGGAAATCACAAACAAATCCACAGAGGTGCACCCAATCTGTATAGTACTACAATCTCAAGATCCACCAGGCTAGTTCCTTCGAATGACCACAGATAGTGCAAAGCCACAGGTCCTAAATTTAACAACCCAGAGCTGGCAGGCCATCAACTCATTATTCCTGAAACAATGTCTGCATGATAAGGAGATCTTATAGACTGAAATATTGTGGACAGACTTATTCATTTAGAATCTAGTGGTAACTTAAGGCAATTTTCTTAACCACGCATATAAAAAGCCACTTGCTTCTGGAATACCAGATAACCACAGCAAAAGACAGCGGTGTCTGGCAGAATCCCAAACCACGTGTACTATAAAAGTCATTTCTATTTGCTTTAAGCAAACATGCAAGAAGTCAAATACATAGCAGATACATTATTTCTAATGCAACAAATATTAAGTGATCAACCCCTTCAAAACAGAGATCCTGCAAAGAACCAGTGAGCCCGACATCTCAGTGCTCAGTGCTCTTACACACATTAGCTTTGAGTTAACCCTCACAAGAACCTGCATTTTTATTTCCATTTCTCAAATGGACAAATAGGCTCAGAGAGGCAAAGACACTTGTTTATGCTCACACAGGTTGAACATTGTAGCTATAATGTGAACCCTCCTCTGTCTGAAACAAAGACTATGCTTTCTGAATTTCAAGCCCCCAACTGTGGACTGGCTCCTGGGGGGCTGACAGGGTGTGGAAATAGGCTAAAATGCTGCTGGTGCAGGCCTGGGGAGAAATAATGAAGCCCCCAGAGAGTGGCGAATTCAGAAAGTTACTGAAGTTGGACTATATAGAGATTTGCTTCTAGGGATGACTCCTTCACTGAAGAAGTTAATGCAGAGGTTTTGCTCTTCCCATTTAATGAATCAGGACAACTGAGACTCAGAAAGCATGACTTGCTTAAATCCCGAAAAACCAGTGACTTTCCTCAATAAACCTGAAATCTACCACTGAGAGCTTAGTCTCCCTTCCACAAGACTTCTTGTGCTGTTAGTCACCAATAAGAGCTGGGTATCTATTTGATTAGGAAAAGCATCTTCTTAGATGGAGGGGGAAAAGAACATCTCTTTTAAGTTGCCTCTATCTTGGTAAAGTGTTTCACACATATTTAGCATTGTTAATGCCCATCACTATACTTAAAAATAAAAGGAAAGTCATATTGTAATTTCCTGTTATAAATTAAATTCTCCAAAAGATTCTTTCAGTAAAATTAACATGTCGTAAGATGCCCTTTAACAATCCAACATGCCAGGAACTCAAAGTATATAGTCTCATCCAAGGTGTATTAAATTTCACTGTTATTTAACATAATTTCTAGACATATTATTTATTTTTCACTCTTTACCCAATAAAATAAATGGTAAAGGCTTTTGTGTCATGTTTCATTGGCTGGACAATGACAGCCTTACCTGAACACTGTAGCTTGTGCTGCTGAGCTTCTAATTTAAGAACAAACCTAAACTTCAAACAATAAAGATATCTAGAAAGTTATGAAGCAGAAAGAAAAGGCTTCATGCTTTATGCGTGCTCATTCTAGATACGTTCATTATATGCCAAAGCCCAGGGAAGACAAATACGGAATTTAATAAGACACCATCTGTTGTGTGATGTTCCAAGTTACAAACTTAACCCTTAATTTCTACATTACCTGCTGTTTAGCTATTCTCCTTTAGGATAAAATAAAAAATACCTTATAACTAAGTAGCAGGACCTATGGATATGCCCTGTAAGACATTTTGATAAACCCAGAATCACAACCTGCATATTCTCTCCAGAAAAAATATTCCTCTTATATTTTACTTTTAAAACAAACAGCACACCTACAGTGGTTGCCATCAGCTCAGTCTGCAACAACTCCAAAGCAAGCCACGGTCTTTCCTGAATTTTTTATTTTATTTAAAATAGGCTCTTTGAAGGAAAAAGCAGAGATTTTGGAAAACTTTCAAATCTGTTAAATGAAAAGTGGAGTAATTCCTCAAGTGAAAAAAGGTCCCTTGCAAAAAAAAAAAAAATAATAATAATAAGACAGAAAGAAAAAAAGAGTATATGGCCCAAATCAGAAAACATTTTCAGTTTAAATATTCAAAGACAACATGTGGCGTACACCACAGGAGAAATTTCCATTTAAAAAAAATAGTAATGTACACTTGAAAATGCCCATGTTTTCTTACTTGTAGATTTGAAATATCCTATTTTTAAAAACTTTATTTAAAAAAATGCAACACAGCTCATTCAAGGATGATTTGAGTTCACAAAATAATTTTATTATATGTAAGAAAGCATACAGGCAATAAAATTAAGAAAACATTCACAATACATAAATAACACAGACCTGATGCAGGAGATATTTTTCAGTAGATTTTTTTTTTCTTTTTACCAATTTCATTTAAGTGTTAAATAAATTGCTTATCAAGAAGAATACTTTGTAAACATTTCAAAGAAACTGTTGAAATGTCCCACATGTGTTCGTATCTAGCAAGGGAAACACGGTACTTTTTACAGTCTAGGCAATGACATAGGGACTTAATTCCAAAGCACAGAGAAAGGAATTGCATTTGTCAAAAGAAATGCTGATGGCTTTGGGGTGCTTAACCCACCCAAAGAAAAGGGGTCTCCTATCTCTTCCACCAGTAGAGTGTCTTACTCGAGTATAACAATCAGGCACTATTTGTTAGTTAGTATACCATTAATATTTAAAGACTTTTTAAAAAATCAGTTCTAAATTCAGATTAAAGCACTACAAAAAGTAGCCCCGCTGACTAGCTTGGTGACCTGGTAAGATGGAGACGTGGAGTTTGAGCTTTGTCCATCGGCAGGGCACAAGAGTTCAAAAAAAAAAAACACTGTCTTCATTACACCTCTGTATCCAAGACAGCCATTCATTCATTTGGTTCAGAAAAGCTATATCTGACACGTGAAATGAGAAACGACAAGGCGGGCCAATTATTTTACATAAATACAAAGTGGCATATACTTTTCATTACCACCTAAGATCATAGCTTTAAAGTTGAATTCTTATTAAGCTGGCTTTATTTAAGATATTTACAGAAATACAATTTCTCCTGGGAAGGTCTTTGTCATTTAATAAATGTTGAACACAATAGTAACTATACTTTTTTAAATTTTTCAAAATCCTTTCAGGGGGAAAAAAAGGCATTCACAGCATTTGTTAATTCTCACCTCATATTTATTTGTGTCAGTGAATTTTAAGGAATCATCACAACTTTATTTCCTATCTGTCTTTGCTATGTTTCTAGAAATTATACGTACATGAGCATCTAGAATCTCAAAGAGTCTGTGTGTTTGTTTCATTGGTTTATAAAGTGCTAGTTAAATGGACAAAAATGTGGTTGTAAGGTCTCAGATAATGCATTAGTTTATCCTATTAAATATGATAAATATAGATTTATTATAATAAATTAAAAATATCCATATAATACAATAAATAAATAAAACCAGTATGAACAAAGCATCTCTCAATTCTGAAAAAAATTCCATTCGTACAGTAAGCCTCAATTGTTTTTAGAAATAATTTATGAAGGCATGCACCTACCTTTACAATCTGAAAACTTTGCTTGGAACAGTGTTAGCACCTGTTTGTACACAGCAAACTCAACCCTTCTTGTTTCTTTTCCAGAAAGATTTGATGATTAAGTGAAGCTGTTCATTGTTGATTCTTTGCCCTATTTTTTAAAGTCCTAAAACAAGAACAAGTTTTTAGAAACAATTTAGGGCCAAAGACATGTTCCTTGTAACTTCCCATGTGTCCCTGTTTGGTTGACTATGAACAACACAGAAAATACACTGGAATGTATATGAAAATATAGTTAGTGTGTGTTGGAAAGCAGCAGAGCATTCTGACACCTGAGTCTCACCATACCTTAGTTTCTTAAAAACAAGTCCAGAGAAACCTCCTCTAGCTTTGGGGATGAGCATGTATGGCAGGATTCATCCAGGAGTTCCGGTTGGATGCTGTCCATTTTGTGTGATGGGTTGGATCTTCTCTAGAGAGACATCAGTGTCATAGTCTAATATGACCGACAGGGCCGGGGACAGCTTCTCCAAGGGTTTGGCTATTCCACCTGCCTCCTCCTTTTTCAGGCCCTCAGAGGAGTCCACAGCATGTGGTATCAGGTAAACCAAATTGCATTCCTTGGATATGGAGCCTCGTGGTTCGTGATGACTGGAAAACACGACAGCTCCGTTGTTGTTAATGCTAACCGTCTCTATGGCGTTATTCGTCGTAGGGCAAAGTCTGTAGCATCCTAGGAGGGTTGAAAATGCCTTCCGAAAATCAGCATTAAAAGCATAAATGATGGGGTTCAGGGAGGAATTAGCCCACCCAAACCACACAAACACATCAAAGGTGATAGAATCAATGCAGAAGGGCTGGGTCTCTCCAGACCCACAGAAGGGCAATATGCAGTTCAAGATGAAGAAAGGTAGCCAGCAGCACACGAACACCCCCATGATCACAGACAGAGTCTTCAGAACTTTAGTCTCTCTTTTGAAAGACATCTTAAAGGAACTTTCTGGTTGAGAACATTCAACAGGCTTTCCATTACCTGTGGTGCTCTGGCAATTCTTGGCATGGACTGCTGCCCTCTCCAAAGCTGAGATGCGCCGTATTTGTTTCTGGGCAATCCTGTAGATCCTGGTGTAGGTGACAATCATGATGGCCACAGGGATGTAAAAGCTTATTAGGGAGGATGAAATGGCGTACGTCCTGCTCAAGCTGGAATCACAGTTGTCTGGGGTCTCACCCAGGGAAGTGGCATTCCTATCAGAGGGTCTTGTGGGTTTTGCCTTGTGCCAGCTGAGCTGCACTGGGATGAAGGAAATGAGTACAGACAAGGTCCACGCCACGCTGATCAGAATGAAGGCTGCCTTGGGGGTCATCTTCCTCTCATACCGGAAAGGGCTGGAGATAGCCCAGTACCTGTCCACGCTGATCACACAGAGGTTGAGGATGGACGCAGTGGAGCACATGATGTCAAAGGCCACCCAGATGTTACAGAAGGACCCAAAGGGCCAGAAGCCAGCAATCTCAGCCACCGCTTTCCAGGGCATGACCAAGACAGCCACCAAGAGATCCGACACAGCCAAGGAGATGACAAAGAAGTTGGTCACCTTAGACCGCAGGTGTCGGAACCTGATAACGGCAGCACAGACCAGCGTATTTCCCAGGAGGGTGGACAGTATGAGCAGTGACAGGAAACAGGCTGTGAGAATGCGGAAGGAGAAGTCCCTCTCCAGCCCCAGCCCTGCCCGGTCCATGGTGGAGGTGTTCACAGTCCTCATCTTCCTGAAGAAAAGCACATCCGGGAATCTGACACCCCTCAAGTTCCTGAGCAGGGATCGGGGGTCAGTCAGTCTGCCAGGAGTCTTCACTCCCCAGGCAGCCCCTCGCACAGCCCCAGGTGCTCCCCTGGGTGCAGGACCTCACCAACATTCCATCAGAGGACGGCAACAGTTGTGTGGCAGGAGCCTCCCGTTGGCAATCCAAGTCAGTCCTGTGGACGGTCCTTCTTGCTTTCTATAACTGTCTTCTGACTCCCTTGCTCCAGGTCACGGTCACGGGCACCAGCAGGCTCCTGAATTCCCCAAGGAAAGTACTGGCGTTTTAGCATATTCTAAGCCATCAACTGAGAGACTCCCAGGCCTCTGCCTGCCAGTCAACTGCAGTCACATTTCGGGGCTAACGTTGCCTCTCTGTTGGTGACGGAATTCTCCCCTTCTGAGACGCAGTTGAAAATACATGTCTCCTCCTCCAAGCTCCTGACTCCTCAGCAGCTCTCCAAACACCCTAAAAAGCAAAGGAAAAACGCACGGTCGTTCAAAAAGACTTGAGCAGATCTCATCTTCATTCACGTCAAGCCCGTCCAGGCCACCTACCTTGCCTCGGGGTTGTCCCTCTCAAAGCCCCTCGGAAAGTGGGCTTCGTCAGGCGCCGCAGCTCTGCAAAGCCCAAGAGGCGCGCCTGAGTCCAGCCCAGCAGCGCGCAGCGAGTTTCGGCTTCCGATGAGCAAAAGCCGCCAGGGCGAGTTTGGGAAAAGGATCCCCGGCCAGGCCCTAGAGAGGCTGCTCCGCCCCGCTGCCTGGAAAGGCTAGAGATTTGCAGACGAGACCCAGGGAAAGGGCTCCCGGGCCGCTGGAGCTTCCCTGGGAGAGGGCACCCCCAGGACTAGTCACTTGGGCACCTTCTTTTCTTTGCTTCCTTTCTCCAGGAGCCGAGAGCCTGGGCGCCTCTCGGGCGGCCTTCGGTCGCTCAGAGCAGAGCCCTGCGTCTCCCTGCCGCTGCCCGCTACTTCTCAGGAGCCAGTGGGAACGCGAGGCAGAGAGCCGAGCTGGCACCGGCGGGCACACCGGCCGCCCCGGTTCCCCGGTTCCCGCGGGGCACAGCCCACCCTGCCCCCGCGACCCCTCCCCTGCCCTGGGGGCGGGCTTCGCTTGACAGGTTGAGTTGCGAGCGACAGCCGCACGTGGTTCCCCCCGATGGAGCTGCGGGAGAAGGGAGTGGGGACGCCCAGGTGGGCGCTTGCCCTCACTGGTTACCTGGCCAACCCCCGGACCCCTGGACAGCACGCGGCAGGGCCCGCAAGACGAACCCCGATAATACAACCTCAAGTAAGCCTGAGTAGCCTTTAACTCGGCCCCGACATCCCGCGCCTCTTGGGGTCAACCCAAAGCCTGAGCCAAAGCCCTGCGCCAGCGAGAACCCTCCCCACTCTCACGCACAGCCACCACCAGCTGGCCCGCGTCAGACCCTGCTGCCTCCAAGTGCCCCCCGCCTAGGATGAGACGGGTCCCAGCGGTGCCTGTACTCACCGCTGAGAGGAGGGCGCGGCGCAGCGGCTCTAGGTGCGCGCGGCTGCGCCCCGAGGGCGCTCCCTTCGCGACCCGCCCGGGTG